TTCTGACTACTCCCCTCTGTTCTTTTTTACTCCTTATGCCATATGTAAAGCAGCCTATGCTACTTGAAAGGCTGGAGAAGCAGTAGCTGTTAATCAATTAATTGCTCCTTGGTAGGGAAAAGAGACATGATCATTTCAAAGGTAGTTTGTGCAACTATACAAAGCACACACATAGGTGTGTTTGTGTTCGTGTGTGTGTGTGTGTGTGTGTGTGTGTGTGCGTGTGTGTATGTGTGTATGGATCTTGAATGAACCTCCACCACTGGGCACACATGCATCTGTGGATGTTAAAATCCCTCTTCTAGTATGATACTGTGAACTCCCTACAGACAAGTCCTCCTACTGGTAATAGTTTTGTGTAATTAACAATTTAACAACAACAAATCAATAATTTAACAATTACCTGAGGATTAGGAAGAATAAAGTGAAAAGACTGATCATGGAGAAGTGAATGACATAGGTGAGTTTATATGTTTGGGTGGATTTTACCTGAGGTTAGGTTGGCTAGAACTTTGTTAGAAATTCCACTCTTTCTGGTAAGAAGAAGGAGGAAAAGGAGCCCGATTAATCACAGATCCTAGGAAGTGAGGGAAACTTTAGAAACCTCAGGAATGATGCCATAATCACAAGTTGTGATCATACCAAGGAGAGAAAATAATATAAGGATGAAGGTTCTTCAAAAGACCAGCAAAATTAAAATGTGTAAAACTGGAAACTATTAAAAAAAAATAGAGAATCTCTTGGCTTTTGGTTGTCAAAAATTTTAGAACAAATACAAAGCACAATCTCCCATGAAAGGAAAAGGTTGATCAGGTGCTAACGGCCCTCACCTGTAATCTTAGCAACGCAGGCAGATGAGATCTGAGGATCAAGGTTTGAAGCAGGCTCAGGGAGACAAATTCAAGAGATTCTTATCTCCAATTAATCAGCAAGAAGTTGAAAGTGGGGGTGTGGCTTAAGTGGTAGAGTGCCAGCTTTGAGTGCAAAAGCTAAACAAGAGTTTGAGGACCTGAGTTCAAGGTCCAGTACTCTCTCTCTCTCACACACACACATACACACACACACACCTGACCCCCAAAACTTTTACTGTTCAAAAGATATACTAAGAAAATTTCTTAAAAAAAACACACTTTGGGGCTGGGAAGTTGGCTCAGTGGTAGAGCGCTTGCCTTGCATGCCTGAGGTCCTGGGTTCGATTCCTCAGCACCACATAAGCAAAAAGAAAAAAAAAGCTGGAAGTGGTGCTGTGGCTCAAGTGGTAGAGCGCTAGCCTTGAGCTGAAGAGCTGAGGGACAGTGCCCAGGCCTAGAATTCAGGCCCCACGACCGGACCAAAAAAAAACACACTTTGAGCAAGGAGGAAGTTTTTATAGCTCATAACTATATCTGAGTATATGAACAGTAATGGCTACCCAATTAGATGACTCACTACTCATTAAAGAAGAGGTGACATTTGGGTACTGGTGACTCATGCCTGTAATCCTAACTACTCATGAGGCTGAGATCTGAGGATCAAGATTCAAACCAGCAGGGGCAGGAAAGTATATGAGACTCTTATCTCCAATTAGAAAATTAGAAATTAGAAAAATGGAAGTAGAGCTGTGGGTCAAAGTGAGAGAGTGCTAGACTTGAGCATAAAAGCTCAGGGAAAATCTCCAGACCTTGACTGCAAGCCCCACAACTGACCAAAAAAAAAAAAAAAAAATGCACAAAAGATCTTCAGAAGTCCAATAAGAACTTGGGAAGGGGGCTGGGAAGGTGACTCAGTGGCAGAGCACTTGCTTTGCATGCCTGAAGCCCTGGGTTCGATTCCTCAGCACCACATAAGCAAAAAGAAAAAAGCCGGAAGTGGCGCTGTGGCTCAAGTGGTAGAGCACTAGCCTTGAGCTGAAGAGCTGAGGGACAGTGCCCAGGCCCAGAATTCAGGCCCCAGAACCAGACCCAAAAAAAACAAACAAAGAAAGAAAAAAGAACTTGGGAAGATGTTCAACATCATTTGTCATCAAGGAAATGAAAACTGAAATCACAATAACACTATACTACACTATACAACACAACACCCTATTATGTCCACACCCCTGAGACTGGCTAAGTGTTGATAAAGATATGGAACAACAGGGGCTATCATACATTGCTCACTGGAATGTGACCTGGTGCTATTATTTTGGAAAAGAATGTCTGGCATCCTATTAAATTGTTGAACAGAAGTCTACTATGTCATCCAAGAATTCTACTCAGGGCAATATGTCCACACAAAGATTTATACATAATAAACTTTATTATTATTTATTTTATTTTATTTTAGTCAGTCATGGGGCTTGAACTCAGGGCCTGGGCTCTGTCCCTGAGCTGATTTTTGCTCAAGGGAATGCTCTACCACTTTGAGCCATAGAGCCACTTCTGATTTTCTGGTGGTTAATTGAAGATAAGAGTCTTACAGACTTTACTACTTGGCTGGCTTTGAATCACAATCCTCAACTCTCAGGCTCCTGAGTAGCTAGGATTACAGGCATGAGCCACCAGCACCTGGCATAAGCTTTATTTTTAATAATGACAAGTTAAACAGTCCAAATGTCTGTTGAAAAGTAAATAGATCTTCAAAATGTGATATATTTACACAGTAGACTACCACCCAGCAATGAAAAGAAATATACACAGTTGAATGGTACAACATGAGTGAATCTCAAAATCTTTTTTCTTAGATATAGAAATCAGGTACCAGTTGGGCACCGGTGGCTCATGCCTCTACTCAGGAGGCTGAGATCTGAGGATCGTGGTTCAAAGCCAGCCCCGGCAGGAAACTCCGTGAGACTCTTTTTTTTGGGGGGGAGGGGGTCCGGTTGTGGGGCCTGAACTCTGGGCCTGCGCGCTGTCCCTCAGCTCTTCAGCTCAAGACTAGCGCTCTACCACTTGAGCCACAGTGCCACTTCCGGCTTTTTTTTTCTGCTTATGTGGTGCTGAGGAATTGAACCCACGGCCTCATGCATGCAAGGCAAGCGCTCTACCACTGAGCCACCTTCCCAGCCCCATGAGACTCTTATCTCCAATAAACCACTAGAAAACCGGGAGTGGTACTGTGGTTCAAGCAGAAGAGCACTCTCCTTGAGCTGAGAGCTGAGGGACAGCGCCCAGGCCGAGTTCAGGCCCCACGACCAGACTCGCCCCAAAAAAAACAAAGAAAAAAAGAAAAACAAAAAGAAATCAGGTACCAAAGAGTAGGTATTATATATCCTATTTACATAAATTTTAGAAAATACAATCAACAGTGTCAGAAAGCATTCCAGTCATTGAAGGAAGAGGAGGTGGGAGAAAAGACACACTGCATGAGGAAGTTTGGGAATGACAGAAGTATTCGGAATCTTGACTATGGTGATGGTTTCATAAGGGGTGCTCATCTGTCAAAGCTCATTCAATTGCACATTTTACATATGTGCAGTATGCAGTGCATAAATTTGTATTTATAAGCAAACCAAATAAGTAGAATGCATGAATAAAAACTACAGTAATGTCCCAGATATTGACTTCTCTCAGATCACCTTATTGACTAGCTAGAAATAACTTCTTCTTGGATTCTCTCATCTACTGTCTACAAGCACTCCTGAATAAGGCATTCTGGGAGGGAGGTTCTACACACACAGAAAACAATTCTGTGCACTTCCTGGTGTCCTCATCTCTTGTTGGTCAGAGCAGTCTTGGGCTGATCCTCTGACCCAAACCCTTCCAAGTCCTATCAATCATGGGATGTATGATGCTGCTGAGGTTCAAATGTCTACAAAACAGGGACTGCCAAAGTTAAGCAGAATATTGAGCTGCTACAGGCAAGGGTGTATTTGATCTTGTGACAGAGTAGGTATCTTGAAGATCACAACTTCTGTGTGGTTGGGAATGTCCTGTTTGTATATTCTCTCTCTCTCTCTCTAGCTCTATCATTTATTTACTTACCTATCATCAGTCACCTAGCACTGTATATCCATGTATCTATCTAATAAAACAATTTGGAAAGTCAATTTTTATTAAATAGGAACAGATTGTTATTTATCTCATGAAATAAGACATGACAGAAAGTAAGCCCCCTTAGAAACAGATTTGATACAGAGTATGTATTTGGGTAATTTCAAACTGAAATTGAGAAATTTTACAAATAACCCTTTTAGTGTAAATTTCATACAGAATAATCATGGAGGAAGAAATAAAGGGTGAATAAACAATGTAGAAGTAAGGCAATAAAAGAATTTGAATACTGCTTAGTGGGATGATATATTCAAGGTTATCATAAACCAATCACAGAAACCACCTATGCATGTGTAAGCCAGCTGTTTAACAAATTGCATATAATTTTTTTTTTTTTTTTTGCTGGTCCTGGGGCTTGAACTCAGGGCCCCAGTGCTGTCCCTGAACTATTTTGTGCTCAAGACTAGTGCTCTACCACTTGAGCCATAACACCACTTCCAGCTTTTCTGAGTAGTTTATTGAAGATAAGAGTCTCACGGACTTTCCTGCCTGGGCTGACTTCAACTGCAATCCTCAGATCTCAGCCTCCTAAGTAGCTAGGATTACAGGCTTGAGCCACCAGTGCCCAGCTTCATATAATTCTTTTTTTTTTTTTTTTTGCCAATTCTGGGGCTTAAACTCAGGGCCTGGGCACTGTCCCTGAGCTTCTTTTGCTCAAGGCTAGCATTCTACCCCTTGAACCACAATGCTGCTTCTGGCTTTTTCTGTTTTTGGTACTGAGGAATTGAGGGCTTCATGCATGCTAGGCAAGCCCTCTACCACTAAGCCACATTCCCAGACTCATATAATTCGTTTACAGAACTGTTTGGTCCTATTGACCTCTAGTATTATCTTTGTATTAAGAAGATAGGTAATGTAGTAGGTAGGAGCTCAGGTTTCAGTTTTTGTTTGAAAATGATCCTGGACAAACTATTTAAACTTTATAAGCCTCTGTTACATCTGTAAGACAGGTACTGAAATATTCAACTTTTTTCCATTATTTCTGTTTTTATTACAATTCCATGTGTAAAGCTCTTGTGTCTTTAGAAGAGGGCTAGTCCATCCTCCTCTATTCCACAGCCCTGGAGTCTGCGAGCCCACAGACTCTGCCACACTTGCTTAGATGCTCCTCACGCTCTTCCCAGAGAACACACAGGCCCAAGCATAGAGGAGGTGTGCTGCCGTTTTGCACAGACCTGTGTCCTCTGGGGCCCAGCCCCTGGGGAGGAAGAGTCTGAGAGAGAAGGAAAGTGGGCTATTAAAACAACAGGGGAAAGCGTGCAGCTTCTTCCCAAGGTTTCTGAACACCATTCTGGGTCACAGGCTAGTGGTCCAAGGCTGCTGATTCACGTGGGACATTCTCATAGTCTTCTGTATCACCTTCCTGATGATTGCTGACCTGCTGGGAAGAGTCATCACAGCATGCTATTCTCAACTCAGAGTAAATGACTACAGGTTCCTGGTGAGAAAAGTCCACAAAAGATAAATTTCAATTACAGGTGAGGAAGAACGGTGAGGAGAGAAAGCCCGGCAATGTGACTCACCTTATCTTTCTGACACATCCTTGGTGAATTGGCTGTTGAATGAGAGTAGCAAAAGAAAGAATTAAACTCTATATTACAATGGGTGCTAAGCCAGTTTTACTTCCACTGTTCATCTCTTGACTTGTTTCTGATGAGTTTTTTTTCCCCAAACCCTTAGAGATAGAGTGCACACAGGATAAAGCCTCTCCTAAGTTCCCAGGATGACTTTCTGGATGACTTCTCTCTTGCTCCTCTGCTTATTGCAACCCCAGCCACACATCCCTGACTGCCACCGCAGGCCTCTGTGGCTGTTTTGGCCATCTGAGAGAAGGTAATATGTATGACATACTCCCTGGGCACAGAGAAGTTAGAGGAGGCGGAGGAAAAGGTTGGCAATCTAATGCTACACAATCATTTCACCAGAAACCAAAGATTTGGCAGTAGATCTTTAAGGAAATTCAGTGTGTGTATTCCTTCTAGCCTTTCAAAGCATACATTCTTCCTTTTACCTAGTAAGCATTCATTGAAAAAGGGTGTAGGTAAGTTCCATAGATAGAAATAACAAAGTCAGTCCACATGATGCCGAAGACCATAATTTTGAAGGAGAGAAATGACATAGAAACATTTTTTTAAGTATTATGAGCACTTAGATAAAAACCACGCTGGTTGCCACCAAGAGTGACCAGTTCCTCCCAGGTTAGGATATGAGGAATGACAATAGGAATCACAATGAGCTTCACTGGGTGTCCAAGCTCCGCCCTGGAATGTGAGCAGGGGTCACCAGCTACACTAGAGATGAAGCTACTTCGAGACAATTAGGAAGTATGTTTTCAAAGCATTAAAATGACAAGAGTAAGGACAAAATGCTACATTAAAGACCTAAGGGGGAGCCTAAAGGTGCAGATGGAGGCAAGGTAGAGTCACTTAGGATAATAATTCCATGCAATGGGGGAATCAAGTTGTATCTCTCACAGGGATTGTGCTATGAACAGTTGCAGGGTTGAAGATTGAGACTAGAAATGGAGATCAGCTAGGAGAAGTGCAGTTGTCCTGACATATTCAATTATAAGAGGCATAACTGTATGTAGCATTCATTCATTTATTCCAAATACAGTTCAAGGGGCCTCGGCTTCACCAAGTATTGATCTCAGTGCTATGAATGCACACTGTCTCCAGGTATTTATGGAGTGTGCTGGTAGTATAAACAGGTAAGAGAGCTGACTGACATTATAGGAGAACACGAAATGCTTTTCATGTTGGGTTCATATAGAGATGACCCTTTTATCAAAGACCCCTTGCTGGAACTGAGTGCACATGGCCACCTCACCTCTACTTGTAGAAAGTTATCTCACCTGTGCTCCTCTATGACCCAGCAATCCCACTCTGGGCATTTACCCAAATGATCAGAAACAAAGCCATACTAAAGCTACCAGCACAACTATGTTTATCACAGCATTATTCACCATAGCTAAGATATAGAACCAACCCAGATGCCCCTCAGTAGATGAATGGATTAAGAAAATGTGAGATCTATCTATCTATCTATCTAGATAAATTCTATGCTTCCATCAGAAAGAATGACACTTCCCCATTTGTAAGGAAATGAAAAGACTTGGAAAAAAATCATATTGTAAACCATACTGTAAGCCAGACCCAAAGAAACATAAGTCCCATGGTTTCCCTTATTTGCAATAATTAGTATACATCTAGGACAATCAGCAGATGAGCAGAATAGCTCAATAGCTATGTACATATGACCATGACCATATAAGTTGATGCTCAATGAAATAAACTCCAAGACATGGTCACAAGAGGTTTTTCTTTGTTGTTGTTGTTTATAATGTACTATATGATTTTTTTGTTTCTTTTCTATGTTCTTCCCTCTATGGTATAACCCCTGTTGTCACTGCTTTTGATTTTGGTACCCAGGTATTGTATATATGTTTATTTGAATTAGATAAAGGAACAGGAACAACAGAATGGTGAGACAAAGGACAAGGGGGGAACCAAAGAAACAGTGATATACACAAGACAATATGTTGGAAATGATCTGTACAACTTGGGGGGAGGTTAGGGGAGGAAAAGTAGGAGAAAAATGAGGGAGGGGGTAACAAGTTTGACAAAAAATGTACTTATTACCTTACTTATGTAACTGTAACCCCTCTGTACATCACCTTAACAATAAAAAAAATTTTAAAAATGAAAAAGAGAGAAAGTTATCTCACCTGAATTTCCGTTTCTAGGCTGACTGCTTTGGATCTGGGAATAAACCATGTTGAGACCTTCAGGATTTACTGTGAGAAAAGAATAGATGTTATACTTGACTACTAGTTAAGAGCTCATACTCTATAATTTCCTTCTATTATGCTTTAGGTTCGGGTTTGATTTCTTTCCCAAAGGTTCATGAGTGAGAGGCTAGATCCCCAATATTGATGATAAGAGGTGGTATGACCTTGAAGAGGTGTGGTCCAGTGGGCGGGCACCACAGGCCCTTCTCACGCTGGCTTCCTGTCTCACCATGTGGTCTTCTCCTCTCCTGTGTGTTCCTGCCATCTGCCTTGAGCTTCTCGCCAGAGTTGATGCTGGTGCCTTGCCTTTGAACCTCCAGAACTGTGAGTTCATCCCCTTTTCCTTCTAAGGTAGCCAGTCTCAAGGTATTTTATTATCGTAATGAAACCAGACTAACATGGCTTCTGAGACACCAACTTTATAATCACCTCTTATGCTTCAAATAATGCCAAGAATGTCATTTGAAATTACATATTAAGTTCACTAAGGTTTTTCTCAAACTCTCTTCCCACTAGCACATCCCTGGAGGCTTCTCACCATTATTGTATATTGGCTGCAGCTCTATAAAGGCTGGGTGCCCATCGTGGAGGTGTTCCTGGGGTGGTGTGCTAGAGAGCCTGGAAAAGGAAGGCTCCTGCCAATCACTGGGACTGTGGCAGAGGGAGAAGAGACAATAGATGAAAATAGGTTCCTGAGACAGAGTATCCAGGTAGGCACACAGACCAGCATGATTCATGTAAAAGTATTGTGTCTACTTCTCCATGTCACTTTCAAGAAAGTATACTAGGAGAATGACATACACAGGATAGAACCTGGGCAGCAGAGCAGGTAAGGTCAGAGGGCAAAAGCCACATGCTCTCAGAGTCCCTTTGATAGTGTAAAGACTTTTAGTTGGCTAACTTAAAAATTATTTTCAATGATGTAAATGCTTAAACATTGATATATAAGGACAACTGCATTCACATAGAACTTGACCTTTATCTTTTGGAAAAAAATAGCTCTTTCAATTTTCTATCTTAGGGATCCAATGTTCTATTTTATTTGTAAAAGATACCATAAAGGCACTTCAAGAAAAGTGGCATTTAAAAAAACAACAACTTGAGGCTGGGAAGGTGGCTCAGTGGTAAGCGCTTGCCTTGCATGCATGAGGCCCTGGGTTCAATTCCTCAGCACCACATAAGCAGAAAAAAAGGCCGGAAGTGGTGCTGTGGCTCAAGTGGTAGAGTGCTAGCCTTGAGCTGAAGAGCTGAGGGACAGCACCCAGGCCCAGAGTTCAGGCCCCACGACCGGACCCAAAAAAAAAACAAAAACAAAAAAACAACAACTTCATATCCTTGTAGTTATTTTTATTTTCTGTCAGTCATGGGGCTTGACTCTGGGCCTGAGCACTGTCCCTGAGCTCTTCAGTTCCAAATGAGTGCTCTACCACTTGAGCCACAAGCCACTTCTGGTTTTCTTATGGTTAACTGGAGATAAGAGTCTCACAGATTTTCCTGCTGGGGCTGGCTTTGAACCATGATCCTCAGATCTCAGCCTCCTGAGTAGCAAGGATTATAGGCATGAGCCACCGGCTTTGTAGTTATTTTTTAATTCAACAGTACTGACATTCAATGATCATTTTCTAAATAAATGTTTGAGTGGAGGAAGAAGAACAAGAAATAATCATGATAGCTTTCATGATAACTCATGAAAGCTGATATCATTAGGATACCTATGGTCAATTTCTTTTTAGTCAGATCATGTAAGTTAGTAGATAAATAAACATGGACAACAAATTGTGTATGTTTTGTGCATCAGTAGGCCTACTGAGTATACTTTACAAATATGATAGAAAGTGACCCCTCTCTACTCACCTTTTGGGGTTTGTAAGAATGTTAAAAATGTTGTTAGGAAGTCCTTCCAAAATGGTTTACAATATACATACTTCCATGCTCCTAGCTTGTGTTTACAAACAAATCATAAACATGCTGGCAACACAAGAAGCAAAGATCTTACCTAGATGCCCCAGGGGCAGAAAGTCCTGCAAAATGAGCAAAGGAACATTGGTGGTAAGTGCTGTGTGTTCCATGTTGGAACCTTGCTTCCTATAAATAACAATTCATTCTAAGATATCAGCTAGAGCAAATTTTGGGCAAAAACTACCACCTTGTAGTTGGCAAGGAAGGCAGAAGTTATGAGACATCTGCCCAGAAACATATTTACTCTTTTAAATCTTTTCTTAGTAACAACAATGTAAAAAGCAAGCAATTGTTAAGTCCAGATTGCTGCTTCTGCTGCAGGAATAGCTACCACATGACTGCAGATCTCAGTGGCCACAGTTCCTATCAATAAAGCCTTGGAGGTATTAAGCAGAAATGGAAGGAAAATGTTGGCAAATCAAATATCGAACAAGGTAATGATATCCAGAATGTATAATACTTGAACACAAATAAATACAAACATTATGTCAACTTAAAAATAAAAATTGAATAAAAGGGGCTGTTATATTGATCAAAACACAAGAATTAAACATCTGCTAATTATAATTGTAACTGTAATTTTGGGACATGAATTAAAAAATAAGAGTGGTCAAACAAATTGTATGCTAACATTAGCTACTAGTGTATTAAAACATTAATAATTATAATTTTACATTGATAGCAGACAAAGACTATGTCAGAGTATGTAATACTATTAGAGATAAAGAAGATCATTTTATAAGGATAAAGTGGTTAATTTATCAAGAACATATAACAACTCTGAACATTTATATAGTTGGAGCTGCAAGAAGAAATAAGAAAAGCCACAGTTATAGTTGAAGATTTCAATACTTCTTATCTCAATAATTGATAGACAAAATAAAGAGAAAATCAGTAAGGGAATAGAAGAAATTTGTAATAGTAGAAGATTCACACTGTAAGAAATGTTAAAAAAAAAAAGAGTTTAGGCAAAACAAAATGATACCAGGTAGAAATACGGATACACAAAAGGGAATGAAGGATATTAAAATCGACAACTTTCAATATTACTTTGGCAAGTCTTACAAGGCAGAAGGAAGGAAAGCCACCAGCCAATATCCCTCATACATATAGAAGTGAATATACTTAACAGAATTTTTATAAATCAAATCCAGCAGTCATATCCAAGTTGTGTTGGTCAGAGAAACAGTAAGATGGTTTAAACACTCAGATTTCACCTTATCATAGACTACAGAAGAAAACTGCGTTATTGTCTCAATCAAAGTAGAAAAAAAAATCAACAGCCATTCTTTCCTGTCATGGCTCCCAACAAATTAGGAATAGTTGGGATTTCCTCATCAAGATAAAGAGTATCGACAAAAATCCCACACTTAGCCAGTTACTGGTGGCTCCTGCCTATAATCCTAGCTACTCAGGAGGCTGAGATCTGAGGATCACAGTTCAAAGTGAGCTTGGGTAGGAGAGTCTGTGAGACTCTTATCTCCAATAAACTACTCAGAAAAATCTGGAAGTGGCACTGTGGCTCAAGTGACAGAGCACTAGCCTTGAGCACAGAGAGGTTCAGAGACAGAGCCCAGGCCCTGAGTTTAAGCCCCTGTAATGGGGCTTTTAAAAAAAAATCCTACATTTAACATAATACTCAAACAACAACAACAAAAACTGAAGCCAGTGCTAGTAGCTCACACCCGAGTCCTAGATACTCACGAGGTTGAGGATTAGAGTTCAAAGCCAGGCCAGCAGGAAAAGTCCCTGAAACTCTTATCTCCAATAAACTACTCAGAAAAAGCCAGAAGGGGCGATATGGCTCAAGTGTAGAGCTCTAGCCTTGAGCACAAAGAGACTCAGGGATAGTGCCCAGGCCCTGAGTTCAAGCCCCAGGACCTGCAAAAAAACAAAACAAACAAAACACAAAAAACAAAAACAAACAAAATAACAACAACAACAAAAACCCTGACTAATTCCACCACATCATAAAGAAGATTCTGGTCAATACAATCAAGCAAGAAAAAGGGAAGATATTAAAATTAGCAAGGAAGTTACTCAGGAGGCTGACATCTGAGGAATGGTTCAAAGCCAGCCTGGTCAGAAAAGTCTGTGAGACTCTTACCAATCCAATTAACCAGCACAAAACTGTAAGTAGAGGTGTGATTCAAGTGGTAGAGTAACAGCTTTGAGCAAAAATAGACAAATGAGAGCACATGGCTATGAGTTAAACCTCCAGCACTGGCATGCACACACACACACACACACACACACATATGCATCCATGCATACGGCACACACACATACACAAAGAATAAAGAGTGAAACTATATTAGCAGGTATCAGGATATAAGATTAATATATTAAAAACGATCATATATTATATATACACATATATAGTATACACACAATATATATATATATATATGTACTAAGCAAAAGTGATCAGAAATTGAATTTTAACCATTCTCAGAATCCACTATTAATTTTATCCAAATTTCATCATAGTTGATTTATTCAAATACATCTAAGTTTATGGTCTGCACAGTTGGTGATCAGTTTGTGACACATGGAAGGCTTTCTTTTTACTTTCAGAAGACTTTGGAATGGACATGGAGCAGTAAATACTTGCTAATATTTAAAAACAAGCAAAACTCTGCTATTTGGTTTAAAATTTCCAACAAGTAAGATGTTTTGTAAAATGACCCTGAGAACTTGACTCTCCTTTTTGTTACTACTGTCTACAGGATGACAGTGAGTGTAACACTGAGAACCTTGTTGTTGGAAAGAAACAACTGACTTTTGTACTATGAACCTAGCCAATGGCAAATTAATATGGCAAAGGCAAAAGTCACCATCTCTCAGGGCAAGGGATAGACACGCACCCAACTTCCTTTGAGTCCTGAAGTGACGCAGCAGGATGGCAGCAATGGGAAGGCCAAGGACGCCCAGCAACCCCCCAATGACTCCTGCAGAGATGAGGCCAGCTCTGCTCCTGCATGGGCCTGAGTGAGAACACCTATATTTGAATTCCAGTGGCAAAGCTTTTAAGTCTAGACAAAATCCACAGTGTAGAGATACTTGAGGGCAGATATTTTCCAGGTTCTCATCTCTCCCTTTAAACTTTTTTTTGGGGGAAGGGGATCCGGTTGTGGGGCCTGAACTCTGGGCCTGGGCACTGTCCCTCAGCTCTTCAGCTCAAGGCTAGCGCTCTACCACTTGAGCCACAGCACCACTTCCGGCTTTTGTCTTTTTGCTTATGTGGTGCCGAGGAATCGAACCCAGGGCCTCATGCATGCAAGGCAAGCGCTCTACCACTGAGCCACCTTCCCAGCCCAACTTTTTTTAAATATATTTTTTTATTGTAAAGATTCTGTACAGAGGGATTACAGTTACATGTATAAGTTAGTGAGTACTTTTTCTATGGAGCATTGTTACCTCCTCCCTTGTTTTTCCCCTACCATCTCTTCCCTCCCCACCCTGAAGTTGTAAAGTTCATTTTCAACATAGTGTCTTGTACATCTCATTGTTACAGTGGGTCAACCTGTATCCTTATTTCAGAATTTTATTATTTCCTTTCCCTTCCCCAAATTAGAAAAATGTATATACAAGATGCAGGGCAGTGAAAACATCTCCCTTTAAACTTATCTCCACTAATTTGCAATCTTCAAATCAATGACTTGAGAAGAGTGCTAAAGCAGCATCTTGGGTTAAAGTGTATTGTTTTTATGAACGTCCATGAAATCAGTCTCAATCCCAAGAAGCCCAGATCTTGGTGGTCATGTTCAGAAATGTTTGATACTGGTTGAATTCATACCATCTGATAGGCAGAAACTTTTACTGCACACAACCATAGCCCCAGGTCCAGGCACTATTAAATTCACCTGTGATGTCGAATGTCATCACCTCACTGCGCTGAGGCTCAAGGCCATTGTCAGCCTCACAGGAATAATTTCCAGCACGTTCTGTGGTCACCATGAACTTGAAGGATGCACCTCCTCCCATGGGAGCCAAACTATTCCCGAGGGCCATGTCTTCATGATAAAACTGGTACAGGATCGGAGGAGAGCCTTTCAAGGCCTCACAGTAAATTTCTACCTCGTCCCCTACCATAGCTTGGTTTTCAGGGGCCCTGAGGCTGAGGACAATGTCAGACACTGGAACTGAAGGAGGAGAAATACTTCACTGATAGTTCTGCGTAAGTGTATATACAAGCAAATTTAATAAAGGAATGTGAAAGAGTATTTTTTAGTAGGAACACAGATCTGGATTTAAGAAACCCGGGCTTGGATTCTGTTTCTGTTCATTATTAGTTCTACAATTTTGATTTTTAAGAAGGTTTAAATTAATCTAAGTTTCAGTTCATTCCTCTGTACAATGGAGCTAGTCATCAGTTATATCTTATGCTATCATCATAACAATGTATGTAAAGTACTCAATAAACATGACTTATCATTACTGATAGAAATAACTTGAAAGCCATTTCTGAACATGTTTACTCTTTTTTTATGTAATTATAATCTTTTTTATTGTAAAGATACTATACTGAGGGTTACAGTTACATGAGCAAGGTAATGAGTACACTTCCTATTGAGCGTTGTTACCCCCTCCATTGTTTTCCCCCTACCATCCCTTCCCTCCCTACCTTCCCCGAGGTTCTTTTTTTTTTTTTTTGATTGTGATTAAGTGATTACATAATTTCCCGAATTTTACAGTATTGTGGAATAATGATGCTCATTTAAAGTCACAAGTTCATTCTAACTTTCCTGGAGCAAATTGTCTATCACAGTCTATAACGTATAATGGTGTTCACATGTTATACACCATACATGTGAACATGCTTACTCTTGCATATTAGTTCTAAGACCAAGACCTACACATCTGTCTAAAATAAGACATCATTTCTCTCTTTCCAATTACTCTGCTTCATTTTTCAACATAATATTTAATACTTCCTCACATACTTACATATATATATACACTCATAAATACCCATATAAAAACATACATCTTTCTACCATTGTTATGCATCTGATTGCATCAGTTGAATATAAGTTCCACAAGAACACAGATTTAATTCTTCTTTGCTGTATTTTAGCCTGCTGGAACTTTGTGTGGTTTGCAATAGTTACCCAAGATTCAGTGCCAGAACTGATGCAGAATGGCACAAAACTATCCTGATGCAGCACTAGCAAAAATGACTCCTATTTTAAATGATGATTACATAAATAGGATAGCTAGTCCAAATTTTAAGAACAACATTAATATGAAATGTGAATTATAAAATCACTGGCTCTCCTAAGTTGTGGAGAAATCTGGAAGGCTTGAGATATCAACTCTGCGCTTCACTAAGGGTCTTATCTCTGTTTTGCGTTAGAGATTGTCTAAAGGGGAAGGGGTGCTTTCATTAAATGACAATGATTACACTTGAGAATGAGCCATCTTCTGACCATAAGAAATGTGGTGCATAATAACTTACCCAGGTAGAGATACAAAGTCATACAGACTCTTGCTAAGTTTAAGTTTTATCCTTCTATAAGCCATCTGAAACTTCAAATGTCCTAGGTGAGATGCTAGCGGCTTTAAAATTAGATTTGTTGCTGATTATTATTATTTTTTGGCCAGTCCTTGAACTCAAGGCCTGGGCTCTGTCACTGAGCCTTTCTGTGTTCAAGGCTAGTGCTCTACCACTTGATTTACACCACCATTTCAGGCTTTTTCAAAGTAGTTTATTAGAGATAAGAGACCCATGGACTTTACTGCCTAGGCTGGTTTCAAACTGCAATCCTGAGATCTCAGCCTCCTACGTAGCTAGGAATACTATGTGAGCCACTAGCACTTGACCTTCTTTTTTCTTTTTAAATAGTGCTAGAGATCCAACCTAAGGTCTTGTGCATGCTCAGCAAACTCCCTATCACTGAGCTATATCCCCAACCAGAGATAAGTCTTTATTTGATACTTTGTGCAGCTCAGTTTGCCTTTCTATCCACCTCTCTGGCCTTCTGTATTCTGGGAGCAGACTGCCAGCTTCTTGCTTATCTTTCACATTAGGAACCCCTGGTTCTTTGTGTGCACTCTTCTAGAATTAGAGAATTCAAGGACTAGTATATCAAGCCTATGGGGGAGGGGCATATTCCATTCAGTGTGTGAGAAACATACTAGGATTACGAGAATGTTAATAGTATTTCATTTTGAGCTTGAAAGACAGACATTTGGCTCTACTAATATTCATACTGGTGCTCCTCCTTGAGCCATACATCATACCTTGTGATGGAAAGACACAGGGGTAAGATCTTGGGAAGGCTCCTGGTGCCTGCAGCAGTGGGCAGCAGTGTTCATTCACTTCTTCCTTCACTGAGTGTATTGGAAACACTTTGCACCTTTGCTTGTCTACTTATATGCTTTTATCAATTATTTTAACTTAATGAAATCTTTACACTGGTCTATGATGGAGGAGTGACCACAAACCTTTTTACAGAATGTAGAAGTTATTCTGTTATTTTTGTGGCAAACTTCTAAGAGGTCAGATTTAAAGGTAAAGCCTATGTATCTCTATGAAGATAGACAGAATTTAATTATTGGTGATTTTTGAGTGGTGATTAGTGCTTATAAATAGTGTAATAATACTTAGAAGATACTTTGTTGCTGTTATTGCTGCTGCAGTAATGGAATTGAACCCAGAGCCTCAACCATACTAGGCAAGTGCTCAACTTCTTTTGTTTGTATTTGTTTCTGAGATAGGGTGTAGCTAACTTTCCCTGGGTTGGTCTCAAGATGGCACTCCTCCTGGTCCTACATCCTGAGGAGCTGAGTTTACAGGGATATACAACCATATCTGACTAAATGGTACTTTGAAAAGTTTAAGGTGTGACTCACATAGCCAAGAACCATCCTACCAAGTTCAAGGCCCTGAGTTCAAACTTCTAGTAATGCTAAAAAAAAAAAAACACAAAACTTTTTAAGGTGGCCTGAAGATTACTTAGATTTTTAAAAATACAACTTTGGGGGCTGGGAAGGTGGCTCAGTGGTAGAGCGCTTGCCTTGCATGCATGAGGCCCTGGATTCGATTCCTCAGCACCACATAAGCAAAAAGAAAAAAAGCCAGAAGTGGCGCTGTGGCTCAAGTGGCCTTGAGCTGAAGAGCTGAGAGACAGCACCCAGGCCCAGAGTTCAGGCCCCACGACTGGACCCCCCAAAATAAATAAATAAATAAAAATTAAAAAAATAAAAATACAACTTTGTTTAATCAGCAGAGAGCCAAGAAGCAATTACTATTAGATAGATGTAAGGGAAGGACATTATAGCAAGATATGGTTTAGTCATTTATTACTGGACAAACAAATCCAGAAATCAGGCTCTCTTTGTGAATAACTGCAGGACCATCAAATATATTTTGGAAAGTCTTCCTGCTTCTATTGTTAAGAGTATAAGGCTATATATTATATAGCTATATATAATATAGCTTTCCGTGACACTAGCAGAGTAAAGGAAGTAGTAGACTAAATTATTGAATGTGTGACTATAAGGAAGAATCCCAGAACTCTCAGGTAGAGGCAGAAGAAGTGGAGAATCTGCTGGAGTTTCCTACCCACAAGAGCCCAATTGGAGCTGTGTTTGAAGAAGAGCAGAGCCCAATGCTAGCTGTTATCTACTGTGGAATAGTCTACTTACCTATGACCTTGAGACTCACTCTGTCACTGCTCTGGGGTCCTAGGCCATTGTTAGCGTCACAGGAGTAGTTTCCAGAACCTTCCTCAGTCAGGGAGAAATTGAAAGATGCTCCTCCACCATTGGGGGCTGAGCTGTTTCCCAAAGTGACGTCTTCATGATAAAACTGATACCAAATTGGGGGAGAGCCTTTCGAGGCTTCACAGTGAAGCTGTACCACGTCCCCCACTACAGCTTGGTGCCTGGGAGTCCTGAGAATGAGGACAGGACGGGACACCAAACCTGGAGGAGACAAAAGGTTGTGAGGGAAGGACTCTGATGCTTCCCTGGATTCACAACCCCATTCAAGGAGTTTGGAAATAAACACATGCCTTGATTGGTTCTATTTTCCACAGACTGTACTTTTCTCATCTAATAATCTAGAAGCACACACTCAACACCCAGAGAAGTAATCTTGGATAATTCTGCTTCCATCACTCTTCAGAACTCTCCACAAGAAACAAAGTACCTTCAACTTCTTTTGTCATCTTTACAATTGCTCCTCAATCTTCACCTCTGATCCTTGTGTTTGACAGAAAACCTAAAGCTTGGTTGATGAGCCAAAGGAAGAAAAAAAGCACCCCAAACAAACAAACCAAAAACACAAAGAAATCAGGAATTTACCTCTCACAGTGACTTCCTTCCGATTGCTGAGGATGGGGCCGCCGTTGTCGGCCACACAGTAGTATCTCCCAGCATCTTGCATCTTTACAGTGGGTATCAGCAGCTCTGCCAACAGGGATTGCTGGGTCTTCTTGCTCACTCTTGTTCCATCTTTGTGCCAGGAGAATGTGATGGTCCCTGTGCCCTTGGCAACTGAGCAGATAAGAATCAGATTTTCTCCTTCAATAAGCTGCCCTCCTGGGGGCCGGGTCTCTAGATTCACATCAGACACAGGGATTCCTGGAAAGACACAAGATGACATTGGAGGGTTTCGACTACAGGAATCTCAAAGTCAAGCAAAAGACTGGTGCTTCCATGAGTAAGCTAGTTGCTTCAGGTGCAACATGCAGGGGAAAAGTAGAAGCGAATGGTAGATCTTTTCTAAAGAGACCAACATTTCTCCCTGGGAAATATAGGCACCAATTAAGATCATCCTAAACCTAACATTGCCTGCAAACACATCTGATGAACATTTATGTGCAAAGTGTCATTGCTGTGTTAATGGACCTCAGAAGAAGAAAGAACGCTGGAATGTTACTTATATCCTGAAGTGACTCTATTTTCAATCCAAACACCTCTCCTGTCCTCTAGCCTTACCTTCACATCTCCACATTTTTCTCCCACTATTCCCCTTCATGTTCATCTTGCCCTTTTCCTATCATTTTGATGTGAGGTCTTAAGTCAACAAATGGAAACACCATCAAAGTCTTTAGGGACCTCATGTGGTCAGCAGTGCTTCTAGTTGACAGGTGACTCATGAAAGAACCTATCCTGTACATCTCTGAAACCCTACAAGATTGAGCATCCAGGAACCAGTTAGTAACCACCATTACTTGACTTAGGTGGAAAGGAATTCCTTTGGCCAGGAAAGCTAGGTCAAGTTGAGTCTAAAGCAGAAAGGATACCTGGATAGATGGAAATTCATCTCTACATCTGCCATCCTGGAGCTGGAGGCAGACAATGTCATTTCCTGTACTCCTTAGCTCTGTTGCCCTCCTCAAACACTCACTCAGCACATCTATCTTGAGTCTTGAGCTGTTTTTGATGATTTTATAAGCCACTGCTTCTGCCTGGCACCAGTAGGACCCTGAGTCTTCCAGCCTCATAGTAGGGATCTGGATCTCCTGAGAGCTGTTGCAACCTGACTCTAGGCGCTGACCATCTTTGAAGAAGCAGAATCGGAGCTGGACATGTGACTTCTGTGGAGGGAGCCGAGTCTCACAGGTCAAGGTCACTGGATCCCCCTCATTAGGCTGTCTGGGGCTGAGCTTCAGCACAGGAGGTAGAAATAGCTCTAGAGAGAACAAGCACAATTCCCCTAGGCAGTGAACACGAGATCCTTGCAGAGATGAACCTGCGCTCTCAGCATCCACAATAGGAAATTGAGAACCAAGCAGGTAGGCCCATCCTTTTTCCATGATCAGGCTATATCAAGCGTTTCCGGAAATCCCCCCACCCCCCAACAGCTTCCCTCACTCTTCACATAGTCTCATTGCCCAAACATGTAAACCACAAGAGTTCACCATTACCTTGAACTTGGAGTTTTAGAGGCTTTGAGGCTTTACTCCATGGAATGTTAAATACAGCTTTCCAAAAGGCAGTACAAGAGTATTTGCTGCTGTCTCTTGAGACTGAAAGTAGTTTGATGGTATCTGAATAGCTACTCGGAAGTATTTCTCCATCTTTATAGTAAGTTGCTTTATTTAATTGCCCATTTTTCCTTTGGCATTTCAGAAAAACATCATCTCCTTCAAAGATAGGGTGGGGTGAGACCTGGAGTATCACCTCATCTGCAATGAGTAGAGCATACACTCAAACCAACCATGTTTTTTCTTTCTCTCTCTTTACTCTCATTTCTGTTCATAAAAGAGGAGCTAGCACCCTGCACACACCAGCAAATGTCCTTAATCTCCTTTTCATACACTCAGGACCAGATTGGTTTTGACCTAGGAGAGTGTCATTCACTGTCTTTCAATGAAAGGACAGTTCTGTGCTGCAGCTTTCTTCAGATCTGTTTTCTTTTTTGTCTGGCGGCCTCTGGGGTGCTGACTCTTCTCTGGTAGGAAGAGATAGTGATGCTATCCTATCTCTTTGTTATCCACCACTAAGATCAGCAAATCATACATCTCCATACCCGTGCTCCCCATATTAACCAAGTCCTCAGACACTCTGCCCAGTGGCTTAACTTGAAAGACTGTTTCCTACCCACCCTCCTCTTCCTCACCAGATGAAAATTCTACATGCACAGGTTCACTGAAGTGGGATCTTTGGGTCTTGCATTGGTAATATCCAGAGTCTTCTATTTGGATTTCTTCAGATGTAGTTTTCCACACATTGTTGTTATGACACCAGGTTATAGGTCCCTTTTCTGAGGAAGGGACAGCCATGCAAGTGAGTTTCACTGATTCTCCTTGGAAGGTTGTGGACCATGAGGGATGGAGCAGAAGAAAAGCTCTTGGAGGTATTTCTGTGCCGGAAAGAAAACAAGGGGAGTAGGCAAATGAACATGGGAGAATCCAGATTTGCAATTGAAAAATTTCCTGACACATGGATTGAAATCAGACAAAAAGTACTTGAAGAAATAGCTGGAATGGAACCTGTCCTTCTCATCCTTTGTATAACCTGACACAGATAGGGAGTGTTATAGGGAATGGGTCCCAGGCTCCTAGTTTGGGCTCCGAAAAGCTTAGGAGATGTAATTTATTATTTAGAGAGTCTTAGAAACTGTTGATTCTGAAATGCTCTTGTATTCATTCCTGTCCGTCTAAAGGTGAACTTGCTACAAATATAACTCAGAAGCCATTTCTAGATTCCAGAAAGCAGCTCTGTCTGACTATTAACATTTAATGAATAAGATTTTTTTCATTACTTTCTTTTTCTTTTAGTACTTGTATAGGGATTTGAACTCAAGTTCTGGGCACTGTAACTTAGCTTTTTCTATCAAGGTAGGCCCTTTACCATTTGAACTATATCTCCACTTACAGCTTTTTTGTGGTTAATTGGAAAAAAAGAGTCTCAGGGACCTTCCTGACCAGGCTGGCTTTGAATCATAAGCTTCAGATTTCAGTCTCTTGCGTAGCTAGGATTACAGATATGAGCTACCAGCACCTGATATTTTCATTACTTTTGAACCGTGCTTAGTTGGAGATTCTGTAGAGAAGACAACTTTCCATCTAAGTTTGACACAGTCACTAGTTAAAGGATATGAATCATTTTAATGGAAGAGAATGGGCTGTTTGGGAAATCAGACTTGTATTTGGAATTACAAAGATTGCTGAACCTGGATGTTGAGATATGATGGTGGCCCCAGCTCTTTTAAAAGATATATAACTACTTTTCTGTCCCATTTTCCTCTGATTAGGAGCTACTTCTCTTTCCTTGGGTGGTAGCAATAGCTTGGGCATCTAGACAGAGGGATCTTAGGAGGTAGAAGAGGTAGGATATGAGAGTCTCTCAAGATCCATATCCTGTCTCTGACCTTGCTTCTACAAATGCTTCCTCCCTCTATACTGAGACATCCTGGTAACAGGGAAAATACGGAGACTAGAGAAATCTAAGGAGGATCTGATTGCCCTACATGGTAACAGGTGTGACCTCAGAACATAAGCTACCTGACTCATGTGGGCATGTCCCAATCACCCCCTCTACAAGGCTGTGCTAGCCAAGAGAACTAATGCTCAGAGTCTGGGAGGAACCAAGGGGAAACATACCTGACTCTCCTTTTGCAGGAGCTGTGAGGGAATCAAGAGGTAAAAAACAAAAATTAGCACAGAGCCACATTTCTCAAACCCTTTCCATCCATATTCTATGAGGTTTCCAATCACTTAACCACATAACTCCTTTAACTTTTTTCTTCCTCGTTTTTATGCTCCCATTCTTTTTTTTATCAATTAGAATTCCTAAACACCAGCAAGAACTACAATTTCTTTTACAAACATATAATGGTTTGGGTCCATGCCCCTGGATCATCTCTTTGCTACTATATTTCTTGAGTTTCACCTCTCTCTCTCTCTCTCTCTCTCTCTCTCTCTCTCTCTCTCTTTCTCTCTCACCTAAACACAGTAGTTCAGGTACAGGGAAAGACTTGGAAAAGTTTTCTATCTTCCCTTTATTTCTTCGGATTCCTATTGTTCCTTCTACTTTTTCAATCTCAAATTAAATTTTGGCTTAAAACATCAAGAAGGGAATCCTGTTCTCTGCTCTCTTTCTTTCACAGGCCTTTGTTTTGAAGGTCACTCTATATCTGAACAATAACTCTGCTTGAAGCTATAGATTGAGGGATTTTAGTTGGTGGTTCAGCAGAAAGTAAAGTCCAAACTTACTTTGGGACGAAAAGAATGGTGGTGAGAAATCAAGTGTACTGGGCTTACCCTGGTAGATGTATTTGGAGCCTTTAAGATGTTTCAGGAACCCAAGTTAGTTCTTTCACATCTCTTGCTACTTGTCTCTAAACCCTGGATGAAAGTAGAAACAGAAGCTCCTCGCCATTTCCTCTGGATGACTTTAGAAAGCAAGACCATGGTTCCATCTCAAACCCATCTACTTACCCAGGTACAGCAGCATCAGCCATAGGAGCGCAAGGACCAGGCCTGTCTGACAGGACATGTCTGTCTCCCCCAAAGGCAGGTTTAGCTCTCCTCTACAAAGAAAGAGCAGGGGCTGCCACTCCGATCAGGCATGCAAACAATAGAAAAGGGGAAGTAGAACTTTGTATCACATGCTCCTTTAAAAATGTGAGTATGGCTGCCTTCTTAAATGATATTTGTATTCCAGCCCCAGCACACTGAGCACTTTCAGATATAGAGGGTCACCTTCCAACAGTTGGGGTCTCTCTGGAGAAACATCTCCACGTTGTACCTAGGTTCTCTGAAAATGTCAAGCTATAGATACATTCAGATTCAACTGACCAGTTCTTCATATTTTTTAATATGGAAAACCCCTTCTTTATTACCTCAATGCCACATCACTTCTGGTCACCTGGGAAGCTCTCAACACACCGTGGTTGGTCAGGGTGGTGTCAGACTGTGTTTTGTGGTGTGAGCCACACACAGTCAAAATGTCTGAACACATCTTTTTCACTTTCACCTCAGTTGGCAGGAAACGTTGGAGTAGGAAAATAATAGAAATTTACAGATTCACAAACGGGGCTAGTCCTACTCAGACCTATGCAAATTAGGAAATAAAGGAATAAGCACACAAATAGGAACTCCTGTTTTGAAGCTAGAGTTCTTCTCAGAAACTTTCTCTTCCCCCCATCCCTTGTAATCAGAGAGGTCCTTCCCCATTATGTTCTGTTTCAGGATCTATGTGCTTTCTTCACAGTGTTGATCACAAGTACAAATTAATTTCTACGTGTACTTATTCTTCTCTATCTCTTCTGCCCCCCAACATTTGGAGGACCCCGTTTGTCTTGTCTGCTATCACATGCTCTATGCATCTCACAGTTCTTATTTATTTCACTAGATGTTGTTGTTCTGTTTGTTTGTCTTTCTGTCTAACTGTGTATTCCAGGCTTGACTCACTCATGTGAACCTCCTCAGCCACCCACGTATGAGAATTCTAGTACGCCATGTTGAACTAGCTTTTTGTATGTAGGCGTCTAGTGAGTATTTTGGGAGGGATAGTTGAATGGTCTGCCAGAAGCACTGGATCAGTGTTTCTCAACATTTTGCTCATTACCATTCCTGCAAGGGCCCTTTTTAGACATTTGTTTTTGTAGTACTAGTACTTAAACTCAGGGATTCCCATTTGTTAGGCAGGTACTCTACCACTTGAGTTACCCCACCACCCCTTTTAGCATTTTTTGTCAGTTTGAACTCTGGGCCTGGGCACTGACCCTCAGCTCTTCAGCTCAAAGCAAGCACTCTACCATTTGAGCCACAGCACTGCTTCTGGTTTTCTGGTGGTTAATTGGGGATAAGAGTCTCACAGACTTTCCTGCCAGGGATGGCTTTGAACTGTGATCCTCAGATTTCAGCCTCCTGAGTAGCTAGGATTACAGGTGCACCCTGCTGCATTGGTTAATTTTTTAAGATTTAGGATCTCACTTTATGCCTAAGCTAGTCTGGAATACAATCTTCTTATTTATGCTTACTCAAATTGTTAGGAAGTAAAGTACAAGACATGGAGGCCCAGCCCTTGGTTGAGATAGAGTCATAAACAAACACAGATACATTTCAAGGTCAAAAGTGAAGATGTGAATAGTTACTACTATTAGTTGAAAATGTGGAAGGAAGGAGTTGCTCAGAAAAGCAGTCCTTTGACACTTACTGCCCATTTTGAGGCAACATATTATATTTCCTTTTCCTTCTTCATGTTCATGTTGTTATCCTAGTACTAAAACAGCACTTGGTACTTAATGTAGAGTTTCCATATAAAAGGCTAAATGCCATGTTGTTTGAATTTCAGACTTCAATTATACATGTAATTATATGCATGTATAGAGATAGATATAGAAAAAGAGGCAATATAGTGTGTAATAGTGTGATTGTGTGTGTGTGTGCCAGTACTGGGGCTTAAACTCAATTTTTCACTCTACCACCTGAGCCACAGTTCCACTTTGGTATTTGGAGATTTTTTTTCTGGCTAATTGAAGATTAGAGTCAGATTTTTCTGCCCTGATTCTCAGAGCTCAGTCTTCTAAGTAGCCAAAAGTTTACAATTTTTTTCTATAAACATGTCCTATACAATGTTTTGAACATACATTAAAACTGCAATTATTCTTTCCTTGAAATTCAGATGTAACTAGAAGTCCTGTATTTTTATTTGTTAAATCTGATGACCTTAACAGGATAGAAGCACTTTTATTTTCCATGAATAATTAATGAAGGGATACTGGTTTTATTTCTATGTGTATGTAGCTCTAACTCTACCCTTTCTTTTACCCTTAATTCATGAGCAAGAACTTCCCTATGGGGCATAGGGAAAGAAGGACTAGAGTTAGAGAGGATAATTCTCAGCGACATGAACAGTTGGGGCCTAGGCTTAGATGTAAGAGCAATAAAAACAAATTAACAAATAAACGGAAACCTTATAAATATAAGGAGAAGCTATTGGTGGAACCAGGTTCTCTCATGGCTTTTGATGTTAGTAAGTGATCAGGACAACTTCTATATTGAAGAGATGAATGTCGGGGGACTTTAAGTTGAGTTACTAAGTGTGTACAAGAGCATGGAGTCTTAGGCCTCATAGGTGACATGAGCTTCTGGTGTTTTTATTCAGAGGCTAGTGGCTGTTTCTATCCAGGAGGAACTGCAGTCATGGATAGCAATAATCAAAAGGCACAGAAAGATCTAGAGAACTGTAATGGCCTTTGAAAGCAAGGGTAGAGGAGGCAAAGGTTTACCCCTGTGCCTCTGGCAATGGGCTAACTACAGGGCTGCTTGGCAACAGGGACTTAGGGACTGTATAGTGGCTCAATAAAGATCCATGGCAGTCTAAGTCACTTTCCTAGGCAATCATAGCAGAAGATAAGACTTTTGCAACAAAATTGAAAATCTCTTAACTTTGGTAGGCACTAATGATTGGGGTAGTACTCTTAGCTGCAAGATTTTATGTGCCACAAAGCACCAGTAGTTCAAAATTGCTAGTGCCCACCTCGGAAGTCTTACTATATATCAGTCACCCCAAATTAAGACCCATAGAGCAAACTGGACAGACCACTCTTTTTTTGTTGGTGATGGTAGTACTGGGGCTTGAAGTCAGAGCCTTTCACTTGCTCAGTATGTTTGCTCAAATGTCACTCTGCCACTTAAGCCATGCCTGCCATCCAGCTTTTTGTTGCTTATTTTGGAGATGGTGTTTCACAGACTTTTCTCTCCAGGCTGCTTTGGACATTAACCCTCTGCATTTCAGCCTACTAAATAGCTAGGAATCCAGAAATGAGCAACTGGTGCCCAATTTGGACAGGTCATTCATGAATTTATGTGAGGTTTTCTAGGCTCATGGGTAGAAATTATTCAAATAATTACTAATAAAATTCCAAAATTATATAATGCCTTTAGGTAGGCATATAGGTCTGGCCCATAATGTGTGATAAATGTATGGAATTCAAAAGGAATTGAGCATCAGGTCCTTGGAGAAAGATTGGTTCCAACGGGACCCTTTGGGAAAAGAACTTCAGAAACAGGTGTTTCAACATACGTTGAAATCTTTTCTACTTGAAGTAAATGTAAGACAAGGTGAAAAATGTTCCCCCAGAGGCCAGGCAGAGGGACCCTCTGCCTGACAGGTATAGGGGCTGTGTCACTTAAGAGACTTTGCACTGAGCTCACACTCAAGATCAGAAGCACTTCACTCAAAGAGGAAGTGAAAACAAAGAAGTTTTGAATAGATTTAATGGAAAAGGAGCACAGGAAATGGTTCCCACCCATTAGATTGAGAATAAATGCTCCTCATTAGCCTTAACCTTGTAGAGAGGTGTCTTCAAACAGTTCTTATTCAAAAGTTCTGAGTTATAAGCTGGGTGCTGTGATCTGAGGATCACAGTTGGGAGCCAGCCCAGGGAGGAAGGTCTGTGAGACTCTTATCTCCAATAGACTACTCAGAAAAAACTAAAGTGCCACTTGTGGTTCAGGTAGTAGAGCACTAGCTTTGAGTATAAAAACAACTTAGGGACAGCGTCTAGGACCTGAGGTCAAACCCCAGAAGTTAAAAAAATAATTCTGAGTCAACTGGCACCAATTTAGTGGCATCAGCAGAAACTATGCAGAGAATTCAGCTTCTTTCTTTTCTTCATGGGTGAATGAATCTGTGTTACAATCTGTGGAGACAGTTGCTAGCACAGCCTTAGCTCCATGCAGACACTAATTGGCCAGCTAAAAAGTAAGAAATCTATCCACAATTTTTTTTTTGGGTCCAGTCGTGGGGCTTGTACTCGGCCTGGGCTCTGTCCCTCAGCTCTTCAGCTCAAGGCTAGTGCTCTACCACTTGAGCCACAGCACCACTTCCGGCTTTTTTCTTTTTGCTTATGTGGTGCTGAGGAATCGAACCCAGGGCCTCAGGCATGCAAGGCAAGCACTCTACCACTGAGCCACCTTCCCAGCCAAAGTAAGAAATCTAATAAGGAATCTGATTACTGTGATTTCAAAAGATAATTTAAAGGCTTTAAGTTATTTGAATTTTAAAATATGCTTAGAATTGTTATACAGGGAGGATTTTGAACTTTCATATCTTTCTAGGCATATGAAAGAGGCAAGATTGTTTGCTGTAAAATATGATGTGATACCTCAACATTGCCATTTTAGTATTGGAGGATATTATAGTATTGTTTAATGTCATTGAAGAACTCAGAACTGCTTATTAGACTTAATCTGAGAAGGGAAATAATTATAGCAAAGTTTCAGTCCTGGATTCCAAATGACAGTGGTGTTACATAATTACCATGTGTGGTTTTTCTCTGAATATGCTCACAAAATTCTACATCATTACCCAAAGGTCTCAGTGAGGATACCGACAGGAGTAAGACTCATCCTGGGGAGGAGATTAGTGGACATGAGTGATAACTTCCAGCAACTATGGCTACAAAAAGAGAAATGAGCCCTACAAAGCTATGAGGAAGTGAAGTTTTTTTAATGAAGGGATGATACATGTGATGAAAGGAGTATATAGAGAAATAAAACAAAGAGGAA